ATGGTTTCCATTTTCCTAGTATATACATGAAACTGTTTATACTAATTAACTCCTCCAACATCTAAAACAAACCTTTATTGCTACATTAATTCTGTTCACAATGGACAATTATACAGGTCCAATTTTATCTATGCGAAATAGCTCACGGTGGTACCAATTTGTCCAATTAAATATACTTGGGAAAGAAAATTAGGGACCTGTTCACATATTCAATTTCCTTTGTGTCTTGCTTGGGCAATTATGGTTCATAAATCGCAAAGCTTAACATTATCACAAATCGTAATGGACATTGACAACAAGGATTTCGCTATAGGCCCTACATTTGTTGCTATACCAAAAGTTCATGCACTTACCGTTCTTCTTTTCAATGGTACTTTTTCTTATAATAGGTTACAAAAATTGAGGAAGAATACACATTTATAACAGAGTTTGACTGAAAAACAGAGATTGCTTTCTTTATCTTTATGAATTTATGAAATTTTATGTTTGTTCACATGCGTATTAATATGAATTTATAAAATATATTGCTTAGGCCATACAAATTATTCTTAAATATACTCGACCGGTTTATAAAAATCAATTATTATAATTTTGTATGTTCTTATATTGATGAGTTTAGATTTTTATTTAGGATGCTACAGTTGTTTTTTTTTTTTTTTAAAAAAAAAAGGTAGAACCTAACACTTAAGGCTCCAGCCCTATAAAACGCCGTCGTTTTATTACTAGTTATTAGAATTTTAATAAAATCACTGACCAAAGTAATCAGCCTTAATATAAAACCATGCCTAGAGCTTACGGATTCCTTATTTGAATATTATTCGAATAATTTAGATCGCCAAATATCTATTCAAATATGCGCCGAATGGCTAACAACATATGGGGGGCTCCACAGCAAAAGGTGGTGATAGGCTAAAAAAAATTTTTTTGTAAAAACTTTATTTCTGCAAAAATTAGATTGTTTAGAACACAATATTAAAAAACTACAGAAAAAAATTTTTTAGCCTATCACCACCTTTTGCTGTGGGGCCCCCCATATAGTTATTAGATACAAAGCAGCTAATCATATATCGTTACTATGTGTAAATCAGTCAATGACTGAAGTCTCACATGACGAATAATGAATAAACTTTACTTATTCGAATTATTCATCAGATAAATATTTATTCGAATATTCGCCGAATACAAATATTATTCGAATAACGAGTACGAATACGAAGCTCTAATTACGCCAGAATGATCAATCCCTTTCATTGTCTTCATTCGTTCATTGAGCATTTGTTAAATATTATATATATATCAAGCACATGAATGTACTACTATATAACTTCCCAGTATCAATTTGATTTTTATTAGGCTGTATTTGTTACTTAATATAGAAATTGATTACAATTTTGTGTGATAAGGTAAAATCATGATTCTTTATGTGAGTGATGCCAAGAAAAAACTATGAACAAAATAAACAAAATTCTTGAAAGAAACTTCTAAAGAGAAAAAAAAAACCGGTAAACCAAGTTCTGAAAAGAAATTTCTGAAGAATATGGTTTAATGTTTTTTCTTGGCATCGTATGAATTGTACGCAAAATCCGAAAATTCAGGTGCTTCTCACTTCGTAGACAATCACTTGCAGACAATCAAATCGTAGACAATTACTTTGTACACATCTTATTTCAAAACACTTAGTACAGGCAAGTTTATTTTGCAGACACTTCATTTGCAAATAAATTTGGTTTATAACCAATTTATTTCTCCAACAACTCATTTATGGATAGTTAATTTCAACGGCAAAAATTATGATCAGAATCACATATGCGAAAGTGCCGCCAAATAATATAAATGTTTACTAATTAAACTACCTTGCCAGTTTAATAATATGTATATGTCAATAGGTTTATGTTCCAGCCGCATTGACATACGGCAATTGTATTCCAAACAAATTTGTCGATTACTATTAGTTATCCCGATATCGGATCACTCGTAATACAACAGGTGCTTCCGTTGTCGATGTTCCAAATGTTGTACAAGGAGCAATTAAGTACTAACGTACGTAATTGTTTTCTCACTTGTAATAAAATGAGTCTAAAGTTGATCTACAATATTATACCCGCCAAAATATGTGACAATTAGTTACTAAATTACTGCATACACATATATAATATATAATCCTTATTAATAAATGATCGATAGATAATACGGGAAACAAAATAAATAATCTAATAAAATATAGGATATTTATAGCAATGTCATACATTCTAGGCCAAATTTTACATGCCTATTAGAAAGAAATCTTACCAAACATTCTCAATTTACATGTGCTGTTATTAAAGATATCACATATCTCCCGATGCGTACAATGTAAATAAATCATAATTGCATGATTAGATTAGTATCCTAATTCCAAAAAGTGTAAACTGTTAAGAAATCATTGCACAAATATATAAATATATCAAATAGGAAAATGTTTAAACTTCCCTTGAAGTATTAGAATCTTTCTTTTCTCAAAAAGCAATGGATACGAGTTCTTCAAGCCAAGACGCGTTCGGAATTTATACATTACAACACAACAACAGGGTCTACACCATCCGAGATATGGATAGACCTAGACAACGTGCGATTTCGGCATGCTATCACTGTCGTCGACAGCATCGTGGATGCAACAACTACAGACCATGCAATAACTGTAGAGTACACGGCTATGATTGCAACAATAGTAGTAATGAACCTTTTTCAAGGGATTCGGTTATTGAACGTAAGAAATTTCTTAAAAATATTGTGAAAATATGACAAAATATTGAAATATGTTGGTTGAATTATTCAACAACAAAAACGGTTATGTAGCGAATCTGTAAAAATACTTTGTTGGTTTACATTATTACTCTATCAACACACATTCTTAATTAATAAAGTATATAACAGAAAGATCCCTAAACCTTTCTTTATGCTGACTTTGCTTTATTTTTATGCTGCGGAATATAGAATCTTCGAGTTCTTCTATTGCATCAGATGGAAACCAACCAGAAGGTAGGATCGAGTTGATTCTTGTATAGATTGAAGGCTTTGAGTGTTCTCAAGCAACTTAAGATTAGTAGTTATAAAAAAAAGGATGATCTGCCGCCTAATGTTTGAGAGCACTCTTAATTACACAATCTATTGTGTGCCTTAGTTTTGACATATAGATTAAGAAAATTATTTAGATCTTTTCAAACAAAATCAAAAATTCACATTCGTTATTATTAGCTGTGACGTTCAATATTGATACATTGTTAATAAATTGTCACACTGAGCGTATAGAAAAAATAATTATCGAAAAAAGACCTAATTTTTGAGCTCAAATGCGTTATATTTCATTTTAAATAGATCAGCCATCTCAAATTAACGATTTCCAATCTAATTCAGAAGAATTACCGATGGGAAATACGTTACAGGGCAACGATCTCTTACTGCCAATTAGAGTTGATGTAGCGGCAGCGCAATTTAATAATGCAGATGAAGAACAAGTTAGGGCACAACTTGCTGACGTAATGGGGATGCAACCTATTGATTCTGTTGACATAGGGAGTGCACAATTTAATAATATCGCAATGGCACAAGCAAGCTCACTACACACTACAGGTATCCAAACTACGGGTTGTTTAAAATTCTTGCGTCAATGATAAGATTATAATATTAAGGGTATATTTTTATCTAATCATATACCGTCTGAATTTTTAACAACTCGCTTGCGAAATAAATAATCAATCGTGACAATTGTTATAATATGATAGATTAAAATGAAATCATGTTAAGACAATCACAGTAAAGGTTTGTTTTAGATGTTGGAGGAGTTAATTAGTATAAACAGTTTCATGTATATACTAGGAAAATGGAAACCAT